CAGGATACTGGGATTTTGGGGCTGATGAAACTGGACTTACTGGTATCAAAATATTTACAGCGCCGAGGGCGAATGATCTCCTGGGGGTCCTGGGAGGCCACAGAGGGGGCTGGCTCATCGTTGGAGGACTGGGTCTCATCCTCCTGCCCCGACGAGTCCTTGATGGTCTCCTCCTGCCACAAAAGCAAACCACAATCAACAGGGGAAAAAAAATCAGCAGCACCTCATTTATCCCTGCCAGTGGAAAAGCTGGGTTTTAATCAGATTTTTAAATGTTCTTGCCAGGATTGTCAATAGATTAATCTCAAATCTCATTTGTGGCATGCGCAGGCTGAGCTACCACAAATGTAACTTCTTATTGTGTGAACACGTTTTGAGGTTCTTTTTTAAGTAGATAAAACTGAAATATTTGCTTTTTTAATTCAAATGTTAATGAAATTTGAATTTCATTTCAATGATATTTTACTTTGGTCTCCAAAGCCCTTTCTTAGGAATTCTCAATAAAAGGAGGAGGGATTTAGATGGAAATGGTACCATTTGATTCTGCACAGGGTGACTGGGGTTGGAGGAGCCCTCCAGGATCACCCAGCCCAAGCTGGGACCCATCCCCACCCTGTCACCAGCCCCCAGTGTCACATCCAGGGACTCCCTGGACACTCCAGCCCCCTGCACAGCCTGACCACCCTTTCCATGAGGAAATTCTCCTGACAGAATTCTCCCTGCAGCCTTCATGTTACATAAATTTCTCCCCATCCCCTGAACCTTTCCTGATCCAATCCCACTCTGGATCTTCCTTTTGAACTGTTCAGCCCCCACAAAGAACAATCCTCTCCAGCAGCTGTCAAGGCAGCTTGTAAATCCCAGCAACTTCAGTTCCTGACTCAGATGTACCATTCCTCATCCCTGGGTGCCATTCCAGGGCTCTCAAATTGGTGAAGGTACCAAAAACCCAGAATGGATCTCTTTTAAAGCCACACCAGGAAATGAAACCTCCTCTAAGGCCTCAGCTTTTGTGTCACTGACAATTCCAAGGGGTATCTTAATGGAATTCAGGATGCAGCAGCTGTGCCCATGACAGGACTCTACATTCCAAGTAGAAAAATCTCTTTTTTAAAATCAGAAAAATATTTGAAGAGAACACAGAAAAGGAGTTTGAAAATGCTAAGCTCAAAACTAAACATTTGGCAAAGATACTTGAAGCATTAGGTTGAGTTAATTCAAGTACAACCAGGCTGGAAAAACACAATTTAAAAGGCTCAAGTTGGAAAACCTGCAGGATTTCCAAGAGCCAGAGCCACATTTAATCCAGCAGTTTGTGCAGTTTCAATAATCAGCTTTTCTACTCCAAGTGAGTGTTCAGCTGTATCCCTAAAGGTGTCTGCAGGCATTTAAAATGCCAGTGCTGAGGCTGAAGGACAATTCCCATCCCTCACATGATGCTGCATCCAGGGATTTTCAACTGCCTCGGCTTGGGATGACAGAGATGGAATTAAGAGCAATTAAGAGAAATACAGATGGGTAATTAAGAGTAAACCTTATTAGTAAAGCAAGGTTTATGAAATCAACTCCATTACAAATTAGCTCTGCCATGACCTGGGACACAGAGTAGCGCGGGTATGCAAATCACACATTTACATATGCAAACGAGCACTCATTTACCTTGTTTTCCCCACTGCAGCCGCTGTTGTCATCGTTATCGACATCATCATCATCTTCTCCCTCCTCCTCCTCCTCTTCTTCCTCCTCCTCCTCCTCCTCCTCCTGCAGGGGCACGGTGCCATCGTAGCCATAGCGGCTCAGCAGCTCCTGGATGGGCATGTCACTCTCCTGGAACCCCAAAAAACTGGCATTAATGGGATATTAATGGGATATCCCATGGGAACTGCTCCATGGCACCACAGCTCTCACCACAGCACGGGCACCAGGGCACCCACACCTGAATGGCCACTATGGACTGCCAAAATTAATTGGAAGTTTGGGGTCCTAAGGAAAATGTGGGGTTTCTGTGTGGGATAATTTATTTCCCAATCCTTAATTTATTTCCAGCAAACCTCCCACCCCAACACGATCTCCTGGATGGGCATGTCACTCTCCTGGAACCCCAAAAAACCTGGGATTAATGGGATATTAATGGGATATCCCATGGGAACTGCTCCATGGCACCATGGCTCTCACCACAGCACGGGCACCAGGGCACCCACACCAAGAACAGTCATTCCAAAAGGGATGGACGGGCAAAATTGGAAGTTTGGGCTCTTAAGGAAAATGTGGGATTTTTGTGGATATTTCTGGGATATTTCCTTGATGGATTGATAAAATAGGAAGATTGGGCTCCTAAGGAAAATGTGGGATGACTTATTTCCCAATCCTTGATTTATTTCCAGCAGATCTCCCACCCCAACACGATGGGAATGTCGCTTTCCTGGGAAAAATTCACACAGAACCTGGGAATTAAGAGGGATATTTCCACAGGAATTGCATCAAGGTTCTCACCAAACCACAGGAATCACTAACATCCACACCAAGAATGGCCATCCCAAAAGGAATTCCTTCCCCAGCTGGAAACAAACCTGCTAAACCTTAAAAAATTTTATTTAAATGTCATGAAAAAGCTGGTCTGCTCTGAGGAGACATTTCAATTTGTACTGGCAGGTCTCAAACTAATTCAAGTACAACAAAGGCTCCCAAACTCTCCCCTTTATTAATAAAAATTACTAACACATACTACTAATAAATACTTTTAATTCAATTTTGTTAATAAATAGTATTAGTAAAAATTGCTGGCTCTGCTAATTAATTTCTTTATTACTTTTAATCCTCAGTGTCCAGCCTCTCTCCCTAAGTGAGATTTTTCAGAGCAGAAATTTTGAGGAATCATTTAAAAATTCTCTCTCAAAGCATCAAATCCTTTGTTTATTATTTGGAGTTGTGTGCTTGCTCTAAATAGTTTTTTCCTAGTATCTAATGCACATGTTGGCTGATAATCAGATATTTTTAGTTATTGGCTGACCTCAGACTTCCTATCCTAAGGGCCTGCCCTGATCTGATTTCTGGAAACATCCCAATAATCCCAATGACAAAGTGGAGCTGGTTGTGCTCTGTAAAAACAAGAGTGGCAGGGGTTATCAGCACTTCTTATCTGCACTATTTTATTTTATTTTATTTTATTTTATTTTATTTTATTTTATTTTATTTTATTTTATTTTTTATTGAACTGAGCCATTCTAGATCTTATTCCCCTACTCTTTGGTTAAGCATTACACCCAGCCATACAATTAAATGGTTTTTGGTCCCCACAGTGTCACTTGATGGGGAATAAATATTTTACTGACACAGATAACATGAAAGGCCTGTGCTCTTAATTAAACCTGGCAGCAGAGCCAGCAGAAAAATCATACTGGAATCATCCAAATGTTCTCCAGGACATTTTGGAAAAGAATATCCTGTATTTAAGCACTCCCATCCCCACAGAGCTGAGAATTAGAAATGAAAAATTGGAATTTGCATTTTTTTTAGGAATTATGGAATAGAAATATCATTGACCCTGTGTTACCCAGCAAAGGGGGTTTGTATTTATAATGTTTTTCTGTATTTATAATGTTTTCTCAGGTTAAGCCTCTTAACTGCAAATAGTCCATTGCAATTCCAAGAGCTCCAGGGACCAGCAGCTCTCCAAGAGAAAACAAAAACTGGGATTTCTTCATCGCTTCAGGGTATTGCAAAATGGAAAAGGTGAAAAAAATGAATGTATTTATTTATTATTTACCCACAGCTAGAGGTAACCACTGGCTAGGAGGGGATAAACTGAAGGGCTGTAATGTGGTGAGAGAGTTACATGAAATATGAAGGGAAAAAAGCCAATTTTCAATTTAAACCCCACATGAGAGACGTGTGGAGCTCCACTCATTTAATCTACATGAAGCACATTTAGATTCACCAACTATTTATTTATCTTTATGTTTTCCTTTTAGTATCAACCTGGAAATTAGCAGATTAAAAACAAAGATAATTTCCACTGGAAATATAGATTAAATGGAGTAAATTAATTTCAAGTCCTATTGGCAGAATCACTTAAGCTAAATAGGATTTGTACATCAAATATTCATCAGTGAATCATTAATGATCTGTTCTGGAGGCCAACAAGGCCACAGACAGGATCTAAATTACTCTGCATTTATAATGAACCCACTTGGTAATTTAAGAATATTATTCCTGCCTGAGAAATAATTGAAGACAATACAGAAGTGACAGCAGAACCAGGAAGAAATTAGCATTTACACTGGAAATATTGATTAAATGCACCAAATTAATTTAAAGTGCTATCAGCATAATCATTCATGCTTAAATAGGGTTTGGACATCATTTCCTCTGCATCTGCCTTTAAATGAGGCTATTCCTAAGTGCTCCACTTGGACAGATATCTGTATCAAAATGCACAAGAAATGTGGATTATGAGAGGTTTGGTTTTAAAATAAGAACCTACAAGTACTACTCTGGTGCAGCTGGAATACACAAGTTTAGTCAGATGATATTTTAATTTATATTAGTTCTAAAATTTACATCCTATAGATGCAAAACCAACTAACCAAGCACATTATAAATATTTATGTACCATTTATTTCCCCCAATTCTTGGTAAATTTATTCAGCCTTTCCCTCTCTTTATTATTTATTTATTAATGTTTTTTTTTTAATTCCTGCATGTTTTGTGGGTGTGGTTTGGGATCTGTTCCAGATTGCAGGGCAAGATGTATTCTGTATGTCAGTTGTGTTTTGTCAAGTT